AGTAATTAATAATGCATTGAAAAATTGGAAATTGAAGATTGGAAGCTTCGAAACATTTAAACGAGATAAACAATCAGAGATTGGAGTCAATGGATTCAGACAAATTTTAATATTTGCCATTTAATTTGAAGAGCTAAAATCTATTGGATTCAATAATAAGTCAATTTAAGGATAAATTTCATTTTTGTTATTTGTGCTTCCAATTAAATTTTTGTACTCAAATTTGATTTCTCTATTTATAAAACAAATAGTCAATGCTGGATAATCAAATAGTTGAGAAGAGACCGCAAAACAATTGAATTACTGAATAAATGGATTTAGAAATGCAAGATTTAATTTTTGTGTTAATTGCATTAATTATTAGCTCCAGTTGACTTTTCACGAGCATTTTTTATTAAGACTTTTTTCATCTAACTTCTTGATATAATGTATCAACCAATAAGTTGAATTAAAGGATCTGGTAAGTGAAACGAATTTTATATTTATCATTTTTAAAGTTTCTTATTACTTAAAGAGGGTTACTAATATGTTTATAATAAAAAGTAATTATGATTTATAATTTATACTTTTGAAATCAAAAATTTTAGAATTTTAATAATACACGTGAAGATTCCAGGACACAAAATGTGCTTAATGGGAAATTATTTTATTGATAACTTTGTGACTACTGTTATTTATTTCAATTTTTATGTCATGTATAATTTTAGGATTCTATTCACATGCAGAATGCACAATTAAGTAATATCTTTGCTTCCAAAACAACTTTTGGTATAGTACAGGATGACAAAAGGAGATTTCCATTGCAGATCTGTTGAATTGAGATCAATTAAAAATCGAAGAAAAAACTTCACCAATTACTTAAATATCCTCACCCTAGTTTTCATCTGTTTTCTGGGTAATGTTTACAACTTAGAAATGAATTATCACTCTCTCTTTAGATTTTTTTAAATAAATTTACTTTTAATATTACAAATTGAATAATACTAACAACTTTTCCACGAAAAATTTTAAAATTTAGTAGTTAATGATTCATCCGAAATACTGAAAATTAAAGATTGGATTCTTCGAAACATTTAAGCAAGACGAAATGACATGATTTGTGATAAACAATCAGGGTTGGAACCAATGGATTCGAATAAATTTCATTACTTGCTATTTCAATTGAAGAGCTAAAATCTATTGGATTCAATGAATAAGTCAATTGAAGTATGAATTTTATTTTTGTTATTTGAATTTTCCAATTAAATTTTTGTAACTCAAATTTTATTTCTCAATTTATAAAACAAATAATCAAGGCTGGATAATTAAAATAGTTTAAGAAGGGATCACAGAACGATTGAAGTGTTGAACAAATGGATTTAGAAATGCAAGATTTAATTTTCGCATTAATTGCATTAATTATTAGCTCCAATTGACTTTTTTCTTGCATGTTGATTATGAATTTTTTTCGTCTAACTACCTTGATACGCTGTATCAACTGATTAGTCGAAATTAATGGATCTGGTAAGCGAAGCAAATTTTATATTTATCATTTTCAGTTCTCCAACTTAAATTCTCTTAGTGTTTAATTATTTTATTTATCATAAAAAGTAATGATAAGTTATAATTTTCCTTCAAACTTTTTACATTCAAAATTTTAGAATATTAACAATTCTCGTGAAGATTCCAGGACACAAAATATGCTTGATGGGAAATTGGATTATTGATAACTTTGTGACTACTGTTATTTATTTTAATTTTATACTATGTATAATCTTGGGATAACGTTTTACATATTGCAGTATGCAAAATATATCTTTACAACTTTTGGAACAGTACAGGAAGACAAAAGGAGATTTATGTCACGAATTGAGATCAATTAAAAAAAGGAAAAAAAACTTCAGCAAATTATTTCGATATCCTCACCTCATTTCAATATTTCAATATAGTTTTTCATTTGTTTTCTGGGTAATATTTACAAGTTAGAAATGAAGTATATCTTTTTTTTTCACCATCATACCCTCTTCAGATTTTTTTTAAATCAATTTACTTTTAATGTAATGGATTGGATAACACTAATTACGTTTTCCACAAAAATTTTTAAAAATTAGTAGTTAATGATGAACCTTTAAAACTGGACATTGAAGATTAGACTCTTCGAAACATTTAAGCAAGATGAAATAACATGATTTGGATAAACAATCAGGGATTGGAGCCAATGGATTCAGATAAATTTTATTACTTGCTGTTTTCAATTAAAGAGCTAAAATCTATTGGATTCAATAATATAAACTCGTTATGCTATGTGGATTGATAGACGAATTGATAAATGGAATATTGAAAAATCAATAATGGAAAAGAAATAAAAATACGTGATAATTTTGTGAATTTCAACAATGCCTTAATCGAGGTAAAAATTTTAATTAATATTTAAATTTAATTTTCAAATTATTCTATCTATAAATTAAAAATGTTTATTTTATTAGATAGCAATTCACTTAAAAAGCATAGCAATTTTATTCAATTAAATTTATGGAATTACACAAGATCCAGAAACACATAAATATGATGGTTTAGAATATGCAAAGATGAAATTTTCGAGAATATTTAAAAGCTAACTTTAATAATATTAATTGGAACAAAAATTATATAATATATATATATATTTTTATCATCCGATTTTACAACTTCTTTAAAGATTTCAGATATTGGATTAAGTAAACTAATAAGAGTAAATCAGAATAGACCCGAAAAAAAGAATGTATCTGTGAATTACATATATTGTCCAGAAGCACTAGTGATGAAGAATATACAAAGTTACTTATATATATTAATTTGGAATTGTTGCTTACGAAACTTATGAAATAGTTACGAGCTTTATTATACCACGAGATAATGATTTAGTTATGAAAATATGCGATGAATTATGACCAAAAAATTCCATTTAATACTTTAAAATTAGTCACAAGAATGATTCTTTTCATTATAATTACAGTATATTGTCTCATAGTTTATAGTAAATAACGAAATTTAAAATTTATAAAATTACGATATTATTTTCACTTGGCACTTCTTAGAAAAACTTTATAAATAAAAACTTAACACCCCTATATAGCATTTGCTTGCACTTATAATTAAGTTCTAAGTTATATAGTTAAAAAAAGAAACTTTATTTTATTTAAATTTTCTTAAACTGTAAAGTAGTATAAATTATTTTATTAATAAATTAAATATTTCATCTCTTTTTAATTTGAAAAACTTCTTAATCATTTATTGAAAAAGTACTCTGTGAATTTCTAATTAGTTTTTCATAGCCATTAATATAACTAATTTTAAATGATCGATTTTCATGCGTATAGAAATCATTGTCACCAAAATTTGACCAAAAGAACCAGGGCCATTAAAAATAGCATAACTTGCACTATTTAAACGACTAAGAATATAATCTTTGATGCTTCCATTTTTTAAAGAAAAAATAAAACTTTCACTAGTTTGAGAATATGAATAGCATTTGGAAGTCCAACCAATAGGATTGTAACCACCAAAGATCTCGTCATATCTTTAACTTTCACAACAACAACAACAACATTTGTTTTTGATTACATAAATTCCAAATACATCTCTTTCAAATCCATCCCTGCTTCCACGAAAAATAAGGTCGAATTCATATGGATTATTATTTACACCATATGTTATTTCCACGATTTGGAAGCTGAATGGTGACTAATTTACGAGGCGACAAAATTGTTGAAGAAATGGGCTCATTTGGAGAAATATAATATTTTAAAATATCTGACATCAATTGTTTCTCAAGAATTTGTTGGCATGAATAAATTTTTTCATAATTTGTTCTTTGGGAAATTGGAAATATCGAACGTGGGTAAACATTGTTTCAAGGTATTTTTTAAAATTTGAAAATCTTTATCAATCCAATCATCAAGATTTGAAGGTAAAGTTTTATTTTGAGCAATTCCCCATAGAATTACGTAACCCATATTTTGAATTCCTCAAGTTGTAAATCTTCTCTTTGAATAATTAATATCAAAGCTGCTTCTGGAAGAGTAGTAAAATCATTTGATTCAAAAATTAAATTAGGATGTTTTTCAATTATATCGTTACATTAATTTTGAAGTGTTTCAAAATGAATTCGAAAACTTGAATTATAAACTTTTGAAAAATTTAATTTTAACCAAGGAGGATGGTTTTCAATAAGAAAAGTCTGAAGTCTTGCGACCAATTCTTCAAGAGAAAGAGGTTTACAGTCATCAAAAGATTAAAAATAAGAGATGTTTCAACTTTTTCTAGATAGACCGTAGCTAAATAAGCATATCTATTTAAAATATTTAATAAATTATTTAAACATTATTTGTATAGTAAATATAAGTTATTTGAATATAGCACTTATTTTAGGATAATTTAAAAACTTTAGCAGAAATTTGTGGTTTTTGAATAATTCTAATATTATTTTCGTTACTGATAGTCGATTTTTTAAATTCATCGTAGAGAAAAGGACCTCGGTGATAGAAAACTGTTGAATGAACCTTAAAAGTTTGCATAATTGAAGATTCTCCGACCTCAATAATAATGTTATGATCATTTCCATTTCCTAAAAGCTTAATATAATCATTTGATAAATTTTCATAAAAATTTAAAGTCATTTTGAGAAGTAAAAATAAAATGAAAGTCGAAAATGGTCGTTTTTTTTTTAATTTCAATAAGTCATACATAAATAATCTAAATTAATAATACTAACTCGACAAATACTTTAAACTTTAAACTGGTTATTCGGCAATCAAATTAAATGAAATTATAAATTTTATATTTATTATAATAATAAAGAATATAGAGTATAGAAAAAAATCTAAAATATGAATATACAGAGTATAGAAAAAAATTTGATTATATAGAAAAATATAGAAAAAAAAAAAAAAAAAAACCGCTCTGTGGATATGAATAAAAAATTGTTATACCAACGACATTTGAAAAATTTTCAAGACATTCAAAAATTAGAATCATACTTACTAAGGTTTCCATAATCTACATTCTTCATCTCGTTCCCAAACACCGGAGTTCTTTTTAATTTCATATAAAGAAGTTAGCACTTCTTCTTGATCATAGAGATTTTTATTGACCTATAGAAATAAACAGTAGATGATAAATTAAATAATAGATATATATATGTAATAATAATAATTAAAATATAATTAAATTTACCCATCGGGTCAAATTATATTGAGTTTTGGCGTAGGTTTCGCCAATGAACCATGTGTCAATTTCTTCATTTTTTCTAATGCCATATAGTTGGCCGCTTCTATTATAAGATTGAGTTGCAGGACCAACTTCGACCACTTCACAAAATGTAACTTTTATAATATCATTATTGATGAAATCAGTGGCACACCCATATGGACGTGGACACACGATTTCAACATTATATTTCTATTTTGAATTAAATAAAAAATAATCCAATACAATGAACAATTAGTATTAAATGATAACATAATAATAATATACTGTAAGAATTTCAAATAAAAAATAAACTCATACATATTGACGAATTTTATTTTTGCCAAACAAAGATGGCATACATTTTCTGAAACCGCCATTATTGCTGTTGTTCTTCTTGTTGATAAATTTTTCATTGATTTTGACGAATTTTGATTCCATGATAACGAGATTAATAATATTAGTTTTTAATATAAAGTAATTAAAGCTTTTAATTGTGAGAATATGATTGAGTTGAAGAATTGTAGTGTCAGATTAAGATAAAAGTGAATATCAGGATGAAAAAATAATTATTAGCGAGATAAAAATTAATTGAGGAAAAAAAAAATGGAAAACTGAAAAAATTAAACCCTTTTTATCTTTATTATTTATTCGGCATCCGATAATTTTTTTTTTTGAAGTAAAATATCTCATTATCATTATTTCAATTATTTCACATTAATATTTTCCTTTTTGAGCTTCAGCAATAATATGTAAGTAACATTATATATTTTTTTTATTGTAATAAATCATACATATCTTTATTAATTAAAATTATGGCATCTTTATTGGAATAATTTAAAAATATACAAATATTACATCAGATCAGATTGAACGTTTTTTCAATAAAGTATATTATACTATTTAATTATTTAACTATTTTTCAATATTACATTATATTAAAAATTTTTTCAACAGAATCATTCTTTCTTCTATTCAAAAATTTCCAGATTCGCTTAGGTAAAAATAATAATTATCAATCATTTTCTTAATTGTTTGTTTGTACCTCAACGGATTGTTTTACATATATGGAATAGCATTAAAATTTTTTGATTATCTTTTATTGTATTTTAAAAAATGCAATCCCACCCCCGAAGTAATATTGAAAGTTAATTAAAAAAAAAAAAAAATAATACGCTTTTTTTTTTTTAGATGCATATTTTCAACTTGTGATTAAAATAAAATGTAATAATGTAAATAAGTAAAAATATTGTTATCGATTTTCCCAAACGAAGTCTATTCAAAGATATGATAACATGTAATATTTAAAATTATTGAAATAAATGAACGAATAAATGATTTTTGATAATAAATTTTTTGAATTATTAATTAATTAAAATGATTGAATACATGATTTTATGATAAAATTTAAAATTATAAATAATTAAAATAAAATAATAATTGATTAAAACAAAATATTTTATGATAAATTAGCAAACTAGAATTTTTGATTAATATAATATTTGTCATATTGTAAGTCTATTTTTTATACAGTTAATGTACAAGAAAATAAATAGTAATTTATCAATTCATCGTTTCAATTGATTATTGTAAATCTTTAAAAATATTTTTTTTTGAAAAACTGACTGATAAGAACTGATATTTATTATTATAAAATATTCATTACCAATAACACATCACATGAGTATTATTATTCTATATAAAATATTCGTTATATAAGTTATATTGTATCACGGTTATCATGAATTATTGAGGCTGATAAATTTGGAAATCTGATCTTATGGTCAGAGACCAACATAATATTTAAATAATTATCAAATCACGTATCAGAATGTGATAATATAATAATATAAGATTTGTTAATAAAAAAAATAAAAGCTTGCGAATCTTAAAATATGTACACATAAAAAGAAAAAAGGGGTCAATTTGAATAGATTAATAGTTTATTTTATTTGTTATCCTTACATTAATTAATTAAATAGAAATAAAATTTAGTTTATTCATATTATTATATTTAGAAAAAAAAGCTTATTTCTCCACCGAAACATTTATTGAGTTAAAAATAATTAGATAATTTAATCATCATAAATAAAAAAAAGCAAAAACGACTTGATTTTTTTTTTTTTTGAGAAAAATCAAATTACATTAGATTTTTTAACATAATGTAAATATTTTATAGTAATGCATTTTGAAAATGATTTAATCGGTATAAATTATATGTATCGATTTTTATAATGTATTAATAAAAAAAAATAGTCTATTATTTATTAAATAACTATTGTGTAATTATCATGTCAATATTAATGAATATTTATGCACTTAAATTACTTTAATTGATTTTACCGCTCTAATAAATGATAGTAAGATTGAAGAAATAGATATTCGTTTGTTATTTAAAATATTGAAATTATTTTGTAATCTTTTTCATACTTATTTGAATTTATATTTTTTTTTATATATTCAAATGTGGTAGAAGTATTAATTGTTTTAAATATTGGCAACACGAAAATATTTTTTTTGCATGTGATTTTTAATTCATTACAATAATAATAAAAAAAAAAAGAAACTTATGAATTTTTTATTTAAGGAAAAAAAAATTTAATATTTAAATGATACATATTTATTTTATAAAAAAAAAACGAAAAAAATAAAAATTAATTGTATTAAAATTATTATTATTATTTATTGTTCATCTGGATATCGTAACTGGACATCCAATCTAATATAATCTATTTGAAGATTTTCAAATCGTTCAAATAATGTATCATATTGATGTTGTTGTTGTTGAAGTCGTATTTGTAGTTGTCGGATTTGTTGTTGATACTGATGTTGCTGATGTTGTCTTTGTTGTAGCTGTTGTTGGTAATAATCTTGTCGTTGTTGTAACTGTCGTTGATGATCTAATTGTTGTTGTAATTGCTGTTCTTGTTGTTGTTGTAGTTGTTGCTGTAGTTGTTGTAGTTGTTCCTAAAAATTTAATAAAATTAATATAAATAAATATATTAGAAAGTAATTTTAAAATTATTATAATTATAATTCATAATTATACTTACATCGTTATTATTATCATTATTATTATTATCATTTTGATTATTATTATTATTATTATTATTATTGATTGGCCGGGAACGTGGACGCACAATTTCTTTAAATAGATAATATTTATAATTAATAAAAATTATTTTAAATTAATTGAAAATTCAAATAATAGAATAAAATTATGATTTACCTTGTGTCACTGTAGTTTTTTTGGGACGTCCACGTCCCCTTTTTGGTGGTGCGGTGGTGGTTTGGAGTGAGGATGCAACTATTATTTAAAAGATAATAAAGATTTAAAATTTTGTTTTTAATAATAATGAATAATTTTATAATTTCGAAACAATAATTTTTATGAAAAATAAAATTATTTATTTTTTTTAGAGAAATAGGGTATTATGAAAAGAAAAAATAAAAAAATTATAATTTATTTAAAGAGAGAAAGAGAATAATAAGTATGGAAACTAAAATATTTAATTTTTTAGAGTGAAAGGGGATAATGCGAAAAGAAACAATAATGATATTATTGTACCTCTTGCTGCTATCCTCAAGGATCTTCTTAAGGGAGCTGAATTATTTTTTGCCATGATTACTTTTATTTTTAAAATTTTTGAATTTTTGGTTTTTTTTTTCAAAAGTGGAGCTTTTATATCTATTTTTTTTATGTTTCTAACTTTTATATATCGATTGTATAGTTATAATAATAAATTATAGTTGGTTTTGTTTAATCAATATAAAAACATTATATTTCGCCAAATTTATTAATATAATTGTATTGTATAATTGTTATAATTATTAAAGTCAATATTTTATATTTCCAAATTCAGTTTAGTCTGTATTCTAGACTGGGACTTGGTGATAATCTCAATTATTGAAATTATTGACTATGCATTGATTTTCAAATTAGGCATGAAAAACGTGGGTGTCAAAAATTTTTAATTGATTTACATATTATGTAACCTTATTAAAAAAAATTTTTTTTATTACTTCAATTATTACAATCATATATTACAACCCTTGAGAAAAAAAATAATAATTACATCTGATCAAATGATACATCTAAAAAAAGAAAGCATCAATATGGTCGAATAAAATTTTTTTTAAATGATTGGAAATATTTTTTGGAATACAAAATTATTTATTACAATAAAAAAAAACAAATAAACATTCTCATTCTAGAATATCAGTTACGTGTGCATACATTTTAAAAAAAAAGTTTATTAAAATAATTAATCTAAAAAATGGTACATTTATATTATATGATAAATAAATTTTTTGTTCATTTTCAAAATAAATTATTTCCTATTAAATAAAATTAAATAATTATGGTTGAATATTTAAAAATTATCTATAAAACTTAAAATTTATTGTAAAATAACGATATCAAGGAATAATTTATTTATTAATAATAGTAATAAAGTGAATAGTTAATCAGATCGTCAAGCTTAAAGTGATTTTCTAAGAATTTTCTAATAATAGTATATTATATTAATAAAAAAATGTTATATTGTGACGAAGCAAATTGGTAATCAGGTGAAATGTCACGGGGGATAATATTTTATGACACTAGATGAATTTTCAGGTGATTTTCATCTTTGTGTAGCCATCCATAATATGTTGTACGAGGGATGAAGGACGAAGTGCAAAGATGAAGGATGAAGAATGCCGTACGAGGATAAAGGATGACATACAGAGGATGAAGGATGACGCACAGAGGATGAAAGATGAAGTGTAAACAAAGAGAAAGTATAAATACGACTGTTGTTGGGAGTAAGTAAGTTAGAAAAGAGTCAGTAAATAACACTCACAAGTTAATCAGAAATTTCTTAATATTAGAAATAATTCAGAATAATTCGAAATACTTTATAAATATTGAATAGAAAAGTATTAATTTTTACTTGAACAATTTTCAACTACTAATAATAGCAGTTCTGGAGGCTTAATATTTAGATAAGAATAAAAAGCAATCAGTAGTCACTTTGTCATAACAATGTGAAAAAAAAATGTAAATTTATATGCTAAAGCAAAAACTTGCCAAAATAATGCTTAATCGTTAATAATAAAGATAATAATAAAAAGAATGCTAATAGATTTAATTAATTAGTAATATTATTATATTAGGTGAATGCATATTATTTTCAGTTCAATTATTATTCATTAATTTATTTATTTATAAACGAACATCAAGAGGTAGTAATATTAGTGTAGCTGGACGTGACGAAAATTAAATAAATTTGTCATTCTATTTATTTTTATTTTTCATTCTCTCCAAAACTTACTCAAACCTAGAAGCAATCTAGGCCCATTTTATCTCTGGTTTTTCTTCGCTTTGAACTTGCACTCATTTTATACTTTTTATACTGTAAGTTTGTATTTTTGCGTGGGTGACAACCTTAAATTGTACAGGCTAAAAAATTTTCCATAATAAAATGTTCATTCAAACAGAAACAACAAAAATTCAAAAATATAGCTTATATTTGCTCTTACATAAATTTTAAGGGCTCTTCAAATTCTCGACTATATGTATTGATGAAAACAACCTAAATCCTAAGGAATATGGTAATATTGCTAGTCCTAAAAGGTTGTTTCTGTTCCAAAAATTTTCTATAAACATTTCTAATTGGATATAATATAGTTTTATTTTCCGTTTTAGCATCAAAATGAAAGCTTTCTATTATTAAACCAAGCGAAACTACTATAATTCAATAGTTTTTAAGTTGCGAGATTCTAAATTCTATCATAATAATAGAGGAAAGCTACTCCTTCCCGTATTACACCGTCTGGATATCGATTTTTATTTCGGACCAAGGTTAGGACCAATCATTTGATTCCAACGCAAAACGTAATTGTCCGAAGTGTAAACAACTAACCATAGTAAAAATTGAGCCCACATGTTTTTCTTGTCACTAAGTTCCCTATAAAAATTGCTACAAACTGATCTCGCGTGACTTTTTTGTCATGTGAAAATTTTTTATATATTTATTTTTCTATCTGATATTCTAAGATTACTATTATCAAATAATTTAATAATTTAACAAGTCTTAATGAACAGCTTATTAATTGAATCAATTACTTTGGACTCACAATGGTTCCCATTTCCTAGTATATAGGTATTATTATTTTAATTACATCAGACAGACCAAAATTCTAGGACATTCCGTGCCAATTCTTGAAAGTTAAACATCAAAAATGTCTATACTATTACATAATCTAATTATGATTGGGCTAATAATATTCAAATGAAAGTATATTTATAAACTTTAGCACGTGAAACATTTGTTTATTACTTTTACAATTTCATTATCAGTATTCATCGTTATTTCTTGTTCAAGTTTTATAAATCTGATGCCAAAATTGGTTTTGAGTAATTTAATTGACTAGTAGATGATAAATATAATAAATATGAAATAAAAATTAAAAAGAAAGCAATCAATTATAATAAATAAATTCAAAAATTAATTTATAAAAACAGTTAATTTTTTAATGCTACACAAGTATATTTAAAATTCATTAACCTCTCAAAAATTTACTTCCCGGAGATAGTCTTATTTATAATAAAAGTGAATGAAAGAAATCAGAAAATCTATCTTTAACATTTGAAATGATAAACAATTGATTTATGCAAAAAATAATATTTTATTGAAAATATAATCAATATAATCGAATTACAAATAAATAAGTACATAAAGTAATATATATGAAATTTTCTATCTGCTGAACTACCAAAAAAAAACAGAAACTTATTTTTAAACTATTTGTAGACAAAGATGAAAGCTCAAGATTCAATTAATTTATATCTATGTTATTGACTATATAATATCTAATATAATTTTTTATCATTTCTTAACATGTTATTATACTATTACTATTTAAATTTATTTTATCATTGATATTTCTTTTTATTGATATTTATATTTCTGTTTTAATTATTAATATTTTAATTACAAAGAAAAAATATAAAATAAAAGTAAGCATTAGTAAAAATAATTAGTATAATTTATAATTTTATTGAGTTTCAGGATTAATAAACAATTATTGAGTTTTTATTATGTCATTTGTAATGTCGACATTATGAATCAATTCATCTATTTAATTCGTAATCTTTTTGTACTTATTTGACTTTATACTCTTTATAACCAAAATTAGTAGTAGAAGTAGTTAAATTTATTATTTTATTTATTGGTTTATTATGTTCTTTTTGTAAAAAAAAAAAAAAAATAAAATTAATACATAACTAAATTTAAATTCGGATTATATTTCTTTTTAAAATAAATAAAAAATAAAATATAAGTTTTGTATATTATTTACAATTTACTTTTTTTATTACATTAATTTATTTCACTTTGTTGATATATTGAGATTTTTCTAGGCATTCCTCGTCCCTTATTGTGAGGGCTGCTGTTATATTTGGGATCAATTTTCAAAGAGCAATTTTGACTAAAGAATTTTTTTGTTTGAGCGAAATTATAGAATAAAAGTGTTGGGTACAATTTTATTTATTCGAAGTAGACCTGTGGAATGAAATTTTAAACTTATTTATAGAAAAATTACGAAACAAAAAAAACATTAAATGTTTAAACATTTTATTATTGAAAAAAATTTAAATATTATATAAGATTATTTTCTATTTTCACTTATTATTTCAAAAAAATGCTGATCCACAATTATTCTAGAACATTGTAATAATTAATAATGATATACGTAATATTACATCAGAATTTTTCGGCATTTTTTTTTATAATTAATATCAGATAGTTTTGAGATATTTACGTGACGTGAAACATATTTTTATTACTTAGGTAGTTGAATTTAAGAGAAAAAATTAAAAGATCCCTTAAAAAAGATTTATTAGATAGTAAACAAATATCTATAAAAATCAAAATTTATGTCATTGGAAACGAAAAAAATTATGTTAACTTTACACGAAAATAGGAAATGGCTACTTAAAAAATAGAAATGAATGATAATTTAAAAGGAATTTGGGACTGGATACTACTAAACTCAAATCCTTAATTCTAAAACTATTTACTCAGAAAAAACAAATAAATATAATAATTATTTTTTTTTACTTGAATAATAAATAATTGAGGCTTGTTTATTATGCCTAATTTATTTGAAAAGAATATTAGATAATTGTACAAAAAATTTCCCAAAAAAATTAAAAATTTAATGTTAAAATCTTTAAAATATTGCATTAGATTAGATTATAGATTGGTTTCAAAGCGATTAAAAAACATTGAACTAATTAAGTAATTTTTTATTGTCAATAAAATATACTGAAAGCATAAATTGTTTTATTATATTATGCTTTTAAATTAAACTTTTCAAGACACACTAATAGCTGATGGTAAATAATAAATAAATATATATAATATTTTAATAAAAATTTGAATAATCATAATATTGACTCGAAATTCTTATTTTTAATTTTTTTTTTTTGATTCCAATAATTCGAATTTTTTACTTTATTAATCTGAATCTTAGCTCATAAATTTAATTTCATTTTCTTTTTAGCGTATTCGATTGGAAAATAACCTGCTTGCTTGCTTCATCCATTAAATTACCAATGAATGAGGAGATGATCAAAAATTGATTAAAAAAGAGTGTTTAAGATGAAGATATAGTATAGTTGTCTACAATTCGAAAGAACACTCAGAATCAAGAAATTCTTATAATGACCAAAGGTGACAATTTATAAGAACAGCTACCATGTTATGTTTTAAAGGATGATTTGTAATTTCGATTCATTATTTTGTAGAGTTATAAAATGCATGTATTTTATTTGAAAATATAATTCATATTCATTATTATAAAATTATTAACGAACATATAAAGCTACATTCGCCAACATCACCAAATTATTTTCATTATTCAAAAACCCCATCCCTCCATTATCTTCTTCTTCTTCTTCTTCTTCTTCTTCTTCACCTTCTTCGTTTCTATCGTCCTATGAATAAAAATGGATTTCCATATTTAATTCATTATATTCATATTTAATTTATTAAATTATAATAAAATTATTGATTATACTTACATCCATTTGTTGCTGAGCATGAAAAGACACATTCGCCAGCATCACGAGACTATTTGGATGAAAGAGAACATTCAAATTGCTATCATAATCATCATCGGATGTATCCATAACCTCTTCATCATCGTTATTATTATTATTTTCACTTTTTTCACCATCATTTTCATCGTCATTGTGATTATTATTATTAAGATTATTATTGTCATTATCACGAGTATTATAGTTATTATTATGATTATTATTATTATTATTATGATTATTATTATTAATATTATGATTATTATTATTATTATGATTATTATTATTATGATTATTATTATTATATACAACAGCGTCTCTTCCTTCTTCAAGCCTAGTTCTTTTTGATGGCCTTTCTGTCTTTCGTCTCTCACCTTCGTTAAATATTCATAGATACAGTATTTATTTAATAACTCTTTTTTTAATTTAAAACAAAAAATTGATTATATAATTTACCTTTTGGCATCGCATTATCCACATTCTTACGAGGCCGACCAGGCCCTCTCTTTAATGGGCGACCTCTTTTCTTAGTTGGTGGTGGTGATGGGGACAAATATCGTCTTGGAGGAACCGCATCTTTATAAGAAGAAATAAATATTGATATTTTATATAGATAGATGAGTGAATAATATGCATACTATAATAATAAAGACAATTAGTCTTCACCTCTTTTTGATCTCCTCAAAGGAGTAAAATTTTTGTTATCATTATTTGTATTATTATTTGTTTGAGAAAATGTTCTTTTGTTCATTTTTTATTATTATTTTTAATTTCTGAAACTCGATTATTTTTGAACAGATGAGAGATGAAATAATAATGAGTAGAATATAATCCACAAATTTTTTTTTAGAAAAAGCAATTAAATAAAAAAAAATAAATCATATACTTTTTTCAATTACTTTTATTATCCAATAAAAAAGTCTTGTTCTGGTCTAACAATTGAAAAAATGTCAGCCATAGTTTATTTTCAGGGGAATGGCATATATTTTTTTTTCATCGGAACTGATGTAATTCTTAGTATTAAATTATAAAATTTATTTATATTCAATTTGTCATCCAAAATAATTACATCAGATCAAGGGATACATCTAAAAAAAGAATGCTTATTATTATTGAAAAATTTTTTGTTTATTTTATTATGCATCTGATCAAAAAAAGAAACCAGTTAATAATTATCATGAATAGCGCAGAAAAACTCATGATAATTGTCAACTGATTTTTTTTTTGATAAGATGCATAATACAATATCTAAATTATTTATTTGAATTATATTAATAATTTATCTATCATATCCGATATAATAATATTAATAACTATTAATCATTACATCAGATTTGATAGTTTAATTAATACAAACATAAAGAAAGTTTCTAAATATATTAAAGGAAAGATTATCAAAAAAAAAAAGTTAACAATTATCATGAAATTTGTCATGGGTACTAATGAAGGGATTACCCGATGATTAATTTACTAATGCGGGTATTTGAATGAGATTATAGATACTTTAAGCTATTTTATATAGCACACTAAAATAAATATATAAGAATTAATTAAATATTATTAAATAATTCGAAAATTTATTAAACTTTTCTTAATCAATTATCATATCACTTTAATATAATACAAATTTTATTATAATTCACTTAATTACTCAATATAATATATATATACAATTGATCACCACTCAATCAGTTCAGTATCGAACTCAATCTTTTCAGAAAAATATATATATATAAATTTTACGTAATAAATTATAATTTTTAAATAAAGATATACATACATAATATATCCGATCATATTTTATGTATGTCTTCTGATGTAATATTATTATTATTTTTTGCATTGATTTTATCATCATTTATATTACTATTTATATTATTTATTTGTTATTATTATTTATTATTTTAATTAGATTAGAAAAATATAATAAAAATTTTCGCATGAAAAAAAAATTTAATAGACTTCATTTTTTGTCACAATACTCTGCATGAGAGACATTATTACTCAGATAGATTGCATATTCTTATTATTAAAAAAAATCTCCCAAAAAAGATTTTCCAGACCGGTCCAGTAATATCAAATATGGTAAACACTTTTATTCTTATTATTGAAAAATAATCCCCCAAAAAATATTTTTAAGACTTGTAATATCAATTATTCTTATTTTTTAAAAAAATAAAATCCCCCCAAAATAATTTTATTATTCTATCGATAAAAAAATCCCCCAAAAAATATTTTTTATAGATCGGTAATATCAAATATGGTAAACAAACGGACATTATTATTATTATTCAAAAACTATACCCAAAAATATTTTTTGGACCAAAAGATTTTAGTTAAAAGCAAAAAAAGGAGAAGCGAAAAAAAAAAAAAAATTCAAACACAAGTGAAAAATAACTTTCATAACTTCATTATTAATACACATCGAAACTCTTATTACACTTATTATATTCAAAAATAAAAATTTTCAATTTTCTACAATGGCTTTCCCTCATAATCAACAACGACAACAACCACAACCACAAATTCAAAATACTCAACAACAACTACAACACCATCAATATCAACAACAGCAACTATACATACAACAATTACGAAGACAAGCAATCCAAC